ATTCGCTCCCTGGGGTCTCGATCCCCCTCCCCACCGCTTCTCTTTTCAGTTGTCCACCACCATGGCCCTTGCACCCGCGTCTCCCCTTCCTGCAGGGAAGGGGTGTAGCCTGCCTGCAGGTAAGCATGTCCACCTGGAACCTCCCAGCCATGTGTGTGCCTTCCCATGTGTGTGTGTGTGTGTGTGTGTGTGTGTCTGCGCAGGGATTGCCCATGAAGGAGGGGTAATGTTTTCTCTCCACCCTTCTCCTCCAAAATAATCCCCTCCCTGCAGGAGTAGGTGGCACTGCTGGATGATCCCTGCACACACACCCTCTTCCATGTGCTCTGGCTTTTCCCTGCTCTTCTTTCCAACTGCTGGGGGTCCCTGAGGACCTGCTGAGCCTTTATGATGCTTCTTCACTCCCCCAAGCCTCGAATTTCTGTACAGTGTAGCCATCCCCTCTGCTTTGCCAGCCTCAGCCCCTCTGCTGAAGCCTACCCATTTGCTCACCTGGGTCAGCCTCCTGGAGATATTTATTCCCAGTGCCAGCTCTTCACTGGGAAGAGCCCCTTTGGTTTTGGAACACAATTTTCTCTGCCCACCCTGCTCATCCTTCCATGCTCCCCCAGTGCTGTGAGCATTCACTGCCCTTGGGGGGGCTGTCCCCACACTGGTGGCTCCTGCTGTGCTCTGACACTGTCCTTTGTTTTCCAGGCCCGCGGGGAAGGTGATGGAGAAAAATCCCTGTGGTTCAAAGGCGGGTGAGTACAAGGGTTAGGGTACACTCTTCCCCCCGGGATCTCAGCCCCCTCCTCATTAGGATGTGATTAATGAGTTCAGCAGTGGGCTTGAGTGGGGAAGGGTTGCTGAGCTGTGGGCATGCAGGGAGGCCGGTTTTTTGGAGCTGAATTTTGGGGCTGGTCAGTGCTTTTGGAGCAGCCAGCAGACATGACACAGCAGCCCTGTGACCCCAAGAGCTGCTGCTGAGGGGGAGAGTGAGGAGGTGAGTTGAGATGGGGGTGAGGAGGGGAGGGGGGCAACTCCTGCTTTCCTCATGGAGTGGTGTCATGGGGAATCCTGAGCCTCTCACCTGGATGGGCTGGGGGTCTCAGTCCTGTCCTGCCCTCTCAGACAGCCCTGCCATGGACCTGGGCAGAACCTGGTAGATTGCCTGAGAACTCCCAGATCACTCCAGGGATTTCTTTCCAACAGGGCTGTGAAGTTCCATTCCTGCTTGGGTTTCCTTGCAGCAGAAATTGAGGCTTATCTGCTCAGTGCTCCCCTTTGGAGGGAACCCCAGCTCTCCAGCCTTACAGTGCAAAGCCAAAGCTAACGAAGCCAAATGGGCAGTTTTTCTCCTGGGTTTCACTGTTAAGTTTCATGTGGGGAAAAATCACCATTTTTGCCAGAATCCCATTTGCCCTCAGTTTTTAGCCCAGTGATTCCTACCCTGGCTGGGGTGGTCGTGGGGATGGGGATCCCATGGGTGGGTCCCAGGCCACAGAGGAGTTGCTCTGCAGTCATATTCACCAAATCCTAGACATTGAGAAGAAATCCTTTCCTGTGAGGGTGCCGAAGCCTTGGCACAGGTTGTTCAGAGCAGCTGTGGCTGGCCTGTCCCTGGAAGTGTCCAAGGCCAGGGTGGCAACCTGATCTAGTGGAAGGTGTCCCTGCCCATAGCAGGGTGTGGAATGAGATGGGCTTTAAGGTCCCTTCCAACCCAAACCATTCCGTGATTCTCTGAAGTGCTGAGCGACCATGGGACAACAACAGGGGGCCCCTTCCAACCTCAGCTTCCCCTTCCCCGCTGACTGTCCTCTCTCTTGCAGGCCTGGTGGTGGGCTGATCATTATAGACAGCATGCCGGACATTCGCAAGCGAAAACCCATCCCCCTAGTTAGCGATTTGGTGAGGTTCCTCCCAAGGCACCCCCCAACAGCTGCCAGCTTTGCTCCTGCTGCGCCCCACCGGACTGCACCACCTGTGCCCCTCTCCCCAGCTGCCTCTAACATGGCTTGTGTTCTCTGTTTTCTTTCCTGTGGCCTGGCTGGGCCTTCCCTGCGGCAGGGGGGCGGCTGTAAAGTTTCTGCGCTGCATTAACAGCATGCCCGACATTAAGCCTGGACGCAAATCTCTCCCTCTAGTCAGCGATCTGGTGAGCGCGGTGCGAGGGGTTAAAGAGACAGCGCCCTCGGTGCCCCCAGCCCTGCCTGAGGGGGACTGGGGTGCCCCACACTGCCTGGGGGGCTCCTGGCCCTCCTTGCAGTGGGGAGCTGGGCTCTCCCTACCTGAGGGTGCTTCTCTTTAACGGAGCTCTGGTCCCTACCCCAAGCATCAGCCTAAGGTTTCCCAGGGCTGCATCTGGTTTCCCTTTTTTTTCCTAGTGCTGTGTCCCTGGTCCCTTGCTGTCCCAGCTGCCGTAGGTCCCTGCAGCTTGGACCACACTGGTGCTGGACAGACAGACCCCCGTACCAGGGGAGGGCTGGCAGTGGCTTTTCCAAGTTGCCCAGACCCTGTCCCCGCTGTCCCAGTGTATAGTCCCCCCATGCTGGGGTCCACTCCAGTCCTTGGGCTCTATTGCACAGGGTCACTCTGGTCCCCTCCCACTCCTGATAACAAGAGACGGCAGTTTTGGAAACCAGACACCCTTGTCCCCCAGAATTAGGTGCCCTTCCCCTCCTTCCCTCTCTCTTTACACCTTGTCAGCTCCACTCTGTGCCCTCCCTGGGGTGCCACCCTCATGTTCCCAACCTGCCTCCCCCCATCCCCCCACCCCCTTGCTGTCCCCCAACTTGGTGCCCCCACCCCAGCCCTCTTGGGCAGCTGCTGATGCTTCTGCACTGTGCTCTGTTGGTGTTTTGTGGGTGGTGGGTGATGGGGTGGGCAATGTGTGGGGTTTGGGGGGGGCTGCTGCCTTTCCCTGCTGGGATCTTCAGGCTGCAACCAGTGCTGTGGCTTGGGGACACAGTCCCCCCCACGAGGGACTGCTCAGTGCTGGATGAGGGGGTGTTGCCCCAACTCCCACTGGTTCTGGCAGGGAAGGGGCTCTCCTGGGAAGTGTTTGCACTAATGTTTTTTTATTCCCCCCTCGCCGGCCCTGGCTGCCCACAGGCCATGGTAAGTGCCCCCCACCCCATCTCCCCAGGGGTCTCAGACACGTGGTGAGAGGCTCTGTCCCACTGGAGCTGAACTGGGAATGTCACAGGCTGCTGGACTGGTTCAGTCCCGCTGCACAGCAGTGCTGGTATCAACGGGGGTTGGGCTGTTCCCAGTGCCCCCCATGCAGCCATCATCCCAGACATTCCCTGTCTGGGATTGGGGTCTGTCCTGGCTGTTTCACAGCCACTGGGGGTTGTTAGGAGAGAGCTCTCATGGTCTGCTGATCTGGGAACTTGCTTTCTTTCCCACAGTCCCTGGTCCAGTCCAGGAAAGCAGGAATCACGTCCGCACTGGCCTCAAGCACCTTGAACAATGAGGAGCTGGTAGGTGCTGGGGTGGGTTGGGTTGGGGATTGTTGGGAGGGAGAAACTGAGCCTCGGGGTCAGGCCAACAATGGAGGTGCAGAATCTGTGCCCCACCAGCATCCTCTAGTGATGCCTGAGCATCTGGGATGCTCATGGTAGTAATGAATCATGGGATCATTAGGGTTGGAAAGGACCTGTAAGATATCAAGTCCCACTGTCAACCCAGCACCACCATCATTAAACCAAGTGCATCTGCAAGTGCCCTGCTTCAGCATTTCTCCCCCTCTCTCCCCTGTCCCCTCACAGAAAAACCATGTTTACAAGAAGACCCTGCAAGCCTTAGTGTACCCCATCTCCTGCACAACGCCCCACAACTTCGAGGTGTGGACGGCCACCACCCCCACCTACTGCTACGAGTGTGAGGGGCTGCTGTGGGGCATCGCCCGGCAGGGCATGCGCTGCGCCGAGTGCGGCGTCAAGTGCCATGAGAAGTGCCAGGACCTGCTCAACGCCGACTGCCTGCAGAGTAAGGACCTGGGGCCCACAGCCTTGTCCCTTCTCACCTTGGAGAGGGAAGAGGGAGCAGCCCAGGAGAGCTGGGAATGGTGGGCAGGACAGATAGTCCTGGGCAGGGATAGATCCCTCCAGGTTTGAATTAATTCATGCATGGAATCATAGAATCATGGAATTGTTAAGGCTGGAAAAGAACTTTAAGATTATCAGGTCCAACCATCAACTCAGCACCCTTGTGGTCACCACTAAATAATGTCCTCAAGTGCCACAGCCACATGTTTTTTGCACACTTCCAGAGGTGGCTTCACCACTGCCTGGGGCAGCCTGTGCCAGGGCTGGACAACACTTCTGGGGAAGAAGTTTCCCCTGATACCCAGCATAAACCTTCCCTGGTGCAACTTGAGACCATTTCCTCCTGTCCCTGTCCCCAAGCCCACCATGCTAACCTGCACGAGCTCTTGTCTCTCTCCTGGGTACCACCAGCCCCCCACCCCACCTCACCCATGCCTTGTCCTCTCCCAGGGGCGGCGGAGAAGAGCTCCAAGCATGGAGCAGAGGACCGGACCCAGAACATCATCATGGTGCTCAAGGACCGCATGAAGATCCGGGAGCGCAACAAACCAGAGATATTTGAGCTGATCCAGGAGGTGTTTGGGGTCAACAAGACCACGCACACACAGCAGATGAAGGCAGTCAAGCAGAGTGTCCTGGATGGCACCTCCAAATGGTCAGCCAAGATCAGCATCACGGGTAGGCAGCTCGTCACCTTCAGCCTTAGGGACCATGGGAATGTCCCCATTGCCCAACCCCTCATTCTGCCAGGCAGTTTCAGCCCCTGGGGGGATGCAGGTGCCTGTTTTGGGGATCTTTGCATGGCTGTAGCACTGACTTCTCTCTCTCTGTTCTTTCTGCCATGCTGTGCTGTGCTGCAGTGGTCTGTGCCCAGGGCCTGCAAGCAAAGGATAAGACAGGTTCCAGTGACCCCTATGTCACTGTCCAGGTTGGAAAGACAAAAAAAAGGACTAAAACTATCTACGGCAATCTCAATCCAGTCTGGGAGGAGAATTTCCATTTGTAAGTCCAGCCCTGGTCTCCCCATTCCCCTCCCTGGCCACTCATGGTTGTGACAGGCTGTGCTGGCTCTTGCCATGTCCCAGTAGGGTGGGGGGAGCCAGCTGGGCCTCATCCTGCCCCCACTGGGGTCCCTTGGGGTTCTGTTTTATGCCATGAGGATGTGACTCCAGGGGCTGATCCAGGCTGTGCTGGGGCTGCCTGGGTGTGGCACAGGGAGGGGACTGGTGCCCTCATCGGCTCTCTTCCCCAGCTCCTGCTCCGTGCTGGTCCCTTTTGTTTAGGGAAGCAGTGATGGGGAGTAGCTGGAAAGGTTTTGGTGCTCATCCTGGGGCTTGCCCTTTGTCACCTCCCCAGCGAGTGCCATAACTCCTCTGACCGCATCAAGGTCCGTGTGTGGGACGAGGATGATGACATCAAGTCCCGTGTCAAGCAGCGCTTCAAGAGGGAATCTGATGACTTCCTGGGCCAGACCATCATCGAGGTCCGGACCCTGAGCGGGGAGATGGACGTCTGGTACAACCTCGGTAACCAGCACAGCCTGGGACCCCCACCCTGGGCTCAGGGGTGACACATCCTGCTCACACTGGGACTCCTGCCCTTGGCTCAGGGGTGACACATCCTGCTTACACTGGGACTCCTGCCCTGGGCTCCAGTGGGGAAGTGCTGCCAGCTATAGGGTGAAAGCTATTGCAGCAGGGTCTGCTGTTAAAAACATTTAATATCAAAAGCCATCGGGATAAAGTGTTTTCCCAGGGTAATTTTCTGAACCTCTACCCAGGAGGTTCTAGAACACCAGCCCCCTGCAGAGGGGAAAGTGAAGCACAGAAAAGCGATGTTCTCTAGCAGCCAATGTGGCCAAATCCCACCCCAGCCTGGCTGCACATGGTGCTAGGTGTCCCCTCTGCCCTGGCTCTGTACCAGAGGCTCGTGCCTCTCCTTGGGGCTAGCAGTGAGTAGGGTTTCCCCAGGGACTCCTCATACCTTGTCCCTTTCCCTGCACCCACAGACAAGCGCACAGACAAGTCAGCAGTGTCGGGAGCCATCCGGCTGCACATCAGCGTGGAGATCAAGGGCGAGGAGAAGGTGGCTCCCTACCATGTTCAGTACACCTGCCTGCATGAGGTGAGCAGCCCAGACAGGCACAGAGTGCATGGCCCCCTCCCCACCCTGCCACCACCCGTCCTGGGGAGCTGACAGGACTCATTTGTACCTCCAGAACCTGTTCCACTTTGTGACGGATTTGCAAAACAACGGGGTGGTGAAAATCCCTGATGCCAAAGGGGATGATGCGTGGAAGGTGTACTTTGATGAGACAGCACAGGAGATCGTGGATGAGTTTGCCATGCGCTATGGGGTGGAGTCCATCTACCAGGCCATGACGTGAGTCCCCTGCTCCCATCTGGTTCAGAGGGCTGCCCCCCAGCTGGAGAGTTACTGTCCCCATCTTCCTCTCCTGCTGCCATTGACACTCACCTTGCTGCCATTGGGGCAGACTTGCCCCAAACATCTGCACCCATCTTTCCCCTTCCCAGTGCACTCTTGAACAGCCTTATCTCAAGTCCTGTGTCCAGTTCGGGCACCACAAGATCAGGAGGATCCAAAGCTGTTGGAGAGTGTCCAGAGGAGGGACACGGAGCTGGGGAAGGCTCTGAGGAGCAGCTGAGGGCACTTGGCTCGTTCAGCTGGAGCAGAGGAGACTGAGGGGAGGCTCCTCGGGGGCTGCAGCTCCTCCCGAGGGGAGGCGGAGGGGCAGGGGCTGAGCTCTGCTCTGGGACAGGGACAGGAGCCCAGGAAGGGCTGGAGCTGTGCCAGGGCTTGGGATGGATCTCAGGGCAAGGTTCTTCCCCCCGAGGCTGCTGGCACTGCCCAGGCTCCCCAGGGAATGGGCCCGGCCCCAAGGCTGCCAGAGCTCCAGGAGCGTTTGGACAGCGCTCTCAGGGATGCTCAGGGTGGGCTTGTTGGGGGGTCTGGGCAGGGCCAGGAGTTGGACTCAATGATCTTTATGGGTCTCTTCCAATTTGGGATGCTCTGGGATTCAATGATATGCACTCCAAACCCTGCATCCCCTCCCATGGCTCTAAACCCTCAGCTGCCACCTCTCTCCGTAGGCATTTTGCCTGCCTCTCCTCCAAGTACATGTGTCCCGGTGTGCCGGCGGTGATGAGCACCCTGCTGGCCAACATCAACGCCTACTACGCCCACACCACCGCCTCCAGCAACGCCAACGCCTCCGACCGCTTTGCCGCCTCCAATTTCGGGGTAAGTCCCATGGTACGTAAACGCTCTTTTCTTTTTCTCTCCTTTCTTTGGGAGGGGGTGGGGGGCTCGGGGAGCAAAACGAGCTGTGCAAAACACCCCGCTCCAAACTGCAGCCGGGCAGCAGTGGGGTCAGCCACTACTTGCCCCAAAAATCATCCCACTCCTGTTTTTCAGCAAGGAAAAGAGCCACCACCTTCCCAGGAGAAGGGCTAAATTTGCTCCCCTTATTATGGGAGCCTGAGCAAACTGGGACGCTGGGTGGCAATGTGCCAGGAGGGAGAACACCTTGGTGACAAAATCAGAAGCATTTGGCCATGAGCCACCCCTGCACTTCATGGGGGGTCTTGCACAGCCTCGTGTGCTTTGGGGTCCCCAGCCTGCTGCAAACTCAGCCGGTTGTGCCAGCACCACTGGGTGCCGAGTGGGGCGAGTTTGTGGCAGGGCCGGGGCCCCTCGGGGACATGGGCGAGAAGGGGCTGAGCCCTCACCTTGGCTCCCCCCGTGCCATCCCAGAGGCAAGAAATGGTCGCTCTGGGTGTGCATGGGTCGAGCCAGGGTCAGTGCCCAGCCCCGGGTGCAGCAAGGTGCTGGGTAGCCAGGGACACAGCCAGGGCCGAGCACAGCTCCGGGCAGCTTTGGCTCACCTGCACGTTCCTGTTGCAGGGGGGAGCTAGAGCCGAGCGAGCTGTGCCTCCGGATCACGCAGGAGGAGGAAACCGTACCAAAAACCCGCCTTTTCTCTAACATGGAGGATTTTAAAAACTTGTCTTTTTCTCTTTTTTAGAGAGCCTAAGGTTGGGTCCTAAAGTGCCCGGCCGTGTCGCTTTAACCCTGAGTACGCGTCGTGTCCAGTGTTAGAGTGCTGCAGCCGTTCCTTGGGTGTCGGGGACGCACGGTCCGGCCCAGGGCCCGGCTGGGCCATCCCCAGCAGCGCCGAAGGTTTGCGGTGGCCAGCACAGGCTGTGGATCATGTTAGAGACCCTAACCCTAACCCAGCACAGGCTGTGGATCATGTTAGGGACCCTAACCCTAACCCAGCACAGGCTGTGGATCATGTTAGGGACCCTAACCCTAACCCAGCACAGGCTGTGGATCATGTTAGGGACCCTAACCCTAACCCAGCACAGGCTGTGGATCATGTTAGGGACCCTAACCCAGCACAGACTGTCCTCATCCCAGGACTCAGACACTGCTCCAGACTCTGCAGACCCCTGCGGGTCAGCCCTGACCCAGTACAGCCAATGCTGAGGGGGGAACCCAGGGTTCTCATGGGAGGCCCACATGGCAGTTCAAAGCCTCCCCAGCAGCAGGAATGCAAAGGAAAATGCTCCCCAACAACATTTTGAGGCCAATATTGGGAAGAAATTCTTCCCTGTGAATGAGACTGAGGTTGCCCTGAGAGCAGCTGTGGCTGTCTTATCCCTGGAAGTGTTCAAGACCAGATTGGACAGGGCCTGGAGCACCCTGGGATAGTGGAAGGTGTCCTTGCCCATGGCAGGGAGTGGAACAAGGTGGTCCTTAAGGCTCCTTCCAACCCAAACTGGTCTGAGACTCTATGATGAGTTGCTTTGCCATCAGCTCTGAGCCCTGATCCAATCTGCAGCTCAAGATGGGATTTGCATCCTTCTGCCCTGTGCTCCCTGGGTGGGAGCTGGGCTGAGCTCAACTACAGCCCCTCAGCCCCAGTGGAGACCCCCCACACGGGGTGTTTTGTGCCATGTCCCTTGATGCAGCCCAGTGGGGCTAGTGAGGAGTTCTTGGAAATGTCCAACTTCTGGGGCCACCCTCAAGATGGGCAACCACTGCACATCCTTTCCCTGCCCTTTTTCCTGAGGTCTTGGAAAGCCCCAGTTGAGGGGCTACTGTTCCTGCAGTGCCTCTCCCAGCTCTTGTCCTGAGCCCAGGCTCAGATGTGTTCCAGTGGGCAGGGCAGACAGAGCAGCCTGTCAGCCTCCCAGCAATGACAGGGGACACGTGGTGTCACCTCTCCATCCTGAACCTCATCTGGCATGGCCACGTGTGCCACAGGAGCTGCTGAGGGCTTCAGCTGAGCCTCAGCCACCAGCAAGGAGATGCTCTTCTCTGCAGGCATGCTCTGCCCATTCAGGGGGAGGCAGGAAGGCAGGAAGGCAGGAAGGAAGGCAGGAAGGAAGGAAGGAAGGAAGGAAGGAAGGAAGGCAGGAAGGAAGGAAGGAAGGAAGG